GCTCACAAAACTTCCCTCTGAGCAGTCCCTGTTCCCTGACATTTGCCTTTTTATCCTGTCATATCTATCACCTTGTTTGGCACATAAAGCTGGACAATGACTGGAAGTGTAGACACACCACAAGTTTGGAGCTTCTGTGACAGGTGTAGCTCATAGAGAAATGGGACAGCAGTGGCAGTGCTGCCTCAAACTGCCTCAGCAGGGCTGGTTGGACTTTGTTGGAGAGACAGCACTGAGGCACTTGTATTTCCAGGTGTGTTTCCCAGCCCACTGCTCTATCTTGGAGTGTCTCCCTGTTTTGGTCTGTTCCTCTCATTTGAACTTCCCAGAGGCTGTGCACACAGGGGTGCAGATTTACGTAATTACTGTGGAAACAAACAGATGTTTTGGTTTCTACTTAGAGATAATCAGGTAATAGTCCCCAATTCTGGTTGTTTTTCTTGTCCCTTTGTGGCTTTCTATTCAGGTTCTTAATCAGAATGTCAAGATAATTTTGACCACAGGAGTAAATGCCTGGAAAAATGCCAGGGGAATGGCAGGTCTCCATTGACTGAGGACAGCCTGGCTCCATTCTTGTAAAAAATAATGAGATAATCTGGGTGTATCAATCACAACTAAATGTGTATCAATCAAATCAAGCTATTGCAAGAATTTTAATTTTTTTTTTTTTAAGGAAAAAGCCTCAGAATATTAAGAGCTGTACACAAAGTAATTTGCTGCCTACTCTTTCCCTGGTCACCCATCTACACTTTGTCATGGAAAAGGTGAAGCACAGATCATACTCTTTCAGCTTGTTCAAGAATTTAAATCAAATTTAAAGTCTTTGAATCTATAATAGCAGCAATTACTGGCAAAATTATACTACAAATCTTATTGCAAATTAATGAAGGCTTTATTCTGTGTACTCACTGCAATGGACTGTGGTTGTACTGGTTCAGTGATGTTTTCCTGGCATCTAGTTACTTACTTATAACACAGAGACATGGCAGGGTTAAGAATGGGAAAATTCAGACACATGCCTGTGAGCTGTCTGATTTACCTGAGGAGAAATTTGTATTTAAGGCACTACAATAAATTGTTTGCTTCTTCAGCAGTGCTGGAGGGAAGACTTAGATTTGAAGATGGGGGCAAAAATCCCCCGGGTCTTGTTTGAAACAATCCCAGACCTGTCTGACTTTGTATGAACAGCTCCATTTCAGTGAGTGCTTAAAATTGTCACTGAACCAATAAAGACAATATTTCTGCATTAATTTGTAGAATAACTCCAAAAGTTAAGAAAATATTTGGTGTATCATATAGGTTGGAAATTTCAAAGAAAATATCTATAATTTTGTTTTGTTACTTCTTGAGGAAATGTAATATGTGATTTAAATGAAGAAGCTCATATTTTGCATCTGAGAGATTATGGCTTCCAGACCCTGTGTGGGTGAAAGCACAAGCTGAAGTCTATTCCACCATAGCACTGTCAGACCCCAGCTGTGAGATACCCGAGTGTGGGAGTAGCTCTGATAGATTTATCATACCTGTTTTGTTTGGGTTTTATTTTCATCCCTCTCAGCTGGTTTATCTTGCTCTGGCTTCAGCAGGGGCTGGGAACAGAACTATTTCTGCAGGGAGAACATTGAGAAGTGAAGAGGTGCTATGGGAAGCGTGCTGTAGCTTGTACTCCAGACCAGAGGAACGCTGTGTGAAGTTTTAGAGAATTATTTTGTAATGGGAGAGGGGAAATTGTCACTGGCTTCCACTCCACTTGTCAGCCTCAGCTTTGTGGTGACATTTCACACATGCAAAGCTGAAACAGAGCTATGAAATGAGGCCTGAACACACTCATCCATTTTCTGGGCTGTGCAACCCTACAAGCACTGCATGAAAGCTGGAGCCTGGCACGCTGCAGGTTGGTGCGGCTGTCTGTGCAGCCCCAGTGCCTCTCTGGGGCCCAGGCCACTGTCACCAGGGGAGCCCAGGTAATTTTAGCTGTGAATCAGTCCTGAGTTTCCCAGGAACAACCACACAAGGGTGGTTCCTTCCTTCAGCCTTGCCCCTGTTACAAATGGTTGGATTAGGTGGGGTTGTTTGAAGCACACCTGGGTGTCTTTGTTCTTGGGTACGGTTGGGTTTTCTGGCTGCACTGAGCGCCCTGCTTCCAATATTCCTTCATGACTTGCACACTAGCCAGCTAGAGTCAATCTAGTTTGATAACCCTCTGCAATGAAACAGTTTCTCAGAGAGGTTTTTTTTGCTTTCAAATTGAATACCATCCTTCAGTTACAAAAAGTAGCAGTGTTTGTTCTGTCCCTTCTGTGGAGGCTGGATTTTTTTTCAATAGATTCTTACATGGTAGCACAAATGGGAGGTATTTTAAAAGCTGCTCTCACAGGTAGGTCCTATTCTGATGGAGCCATTCCAGTTGACCTGCAGTGTGCTGATCAGTAAGAGTGGATGGAGGGAGCTTTCCTTTCTCTCTGCTCAGAATAAGGCTTGACTTAAGATTGACAGACTTCAGCGCTAGAAAGGAATTCAGAGCACCCCCATCTCAGCACTGAGCTTTCTGTGAGAATAAAGCTAATAAAAAGAATCATTTAATAAAACTTGATTTACAGTTTAATCTTACCTCATTAGTAGATATGTCAGGGATCTTTCATTGAAGGGTTTTCTACAACAAATCAGCCTGAGAGGTTAAAAAATTGTAGTGAGAAAGATTAAAAAAAGCAATATGGTAAATAACTGAGGGAAAGGTAGCCTTTCTTTTGGGAAGTGTTGAATATATATATATATATATATATATACCACTGATGTCAGCATTCATAACATTATAGGACTAAAAAAGTCTCAGTGTTTTAATGCTTACTGGTAGGGCTTCCTCCAGTCTGGTTGGTCATGAGGGAACTTGGGTTTGCAGCTGCCATACCCACACATCTAAGAGGAGGCTGGCTTTTAGGGGGGAGAGGATAACAGGCTCAGCACTGATTGTGTAATCCTGTCCTAGATGCAGGAAATAAATGGAATTATGGCTGATCTTTATTACATTTAGAAAATACTGTCTCTTAAGACTGTATGTTCTGGCTGTAATCCAAAGCTTTTGGTACTGGAGTTAAGCTAAGCTTCAGTGTGCTTTGGGAGCAAGTCCCCACTAACAGTTCCATGTCCCTTTACTGTCAGTGCAGGCCTGAAACTTCTTAAGAGGAATGCAGACATTCTGTGATACCATGCTAGGTATAATTCATCTGCCTTCTCAGACAAGGCTAATGAGTGGTCTTATGTAATATTTGCTTTATTTATTTTTAGAATCATAGAGTTGTCAGTGAACTCACAGTATGGTATGATTTTATATTAATTTCTGCCTTAACTTCCAGGTGGCACCTGCTGAGTTGGACTGCTAAGTGGGCATTATTGTTTGCTTATATTGTTATTTTCTATAGGAAAATAGTAGGCAAATCCTTTTAGCCTTTATTAAATTTCACTTTAAAGTCATAATCTCATCACTTTTTAACTAGGTACAAACAGTAGCTATACAGTTAGCATGCAAATTGTATATAGTAGTGTGGAGTTTGTGTGGGGTGTGTAAGAAGTTTGTTGTTAGAGTTTACATTGCACAGTTATAAGGATAGTAAAATTCATGTCATATGATGTGTAATGTGGTGGTATGAGGCAAAGATGTCTGTAACTGTAACCTCTCATCCTTCATTTACAGTTTAAGCAGTGACTAAACCAGCTTTTTTCCTTTCCGTTGTTATAAACTCCTTTTGTGATGGATCCAACATTACTCTTGTTACTTTAGTGCAACGGCTCAGACATAGCTGTTTGTGAACATCAGTAGCAAACATAACCACGGTTAACATGGTGCTTTCTTTTCTCTCCAAGAAAAGACCTACATATCAGAGTTGGCACTCATGATTGATTTTCAATTGTAAAGTCAGTTTTCAATCTTTCCATCTCCCTCTCTCCCTCCCTCTCTCCCTCCCTCTCTCCCTCCCTCTCTCCCGCTCGGCGGTCCTGCCGAGCAGGCGCTCCCGGCGGGACGCGGCTCTCTCCGGGCAGCGGGCGGGGACCCGCGGCGCCTGGCCGCGCTCCGCGCACACGGGCGGCACCGCGGGG